TCCGGTTTCTGGAGGCCGAAGTACGCGAGTTTTTCCGGAGTACGGAGTACTCGGAGTACTGTGCACTCGTGGCTGGCCGGAGCACTGAGTGCGCGGAGTACGGAGTACGCAACATATCCGAACTATAATCTATGACTCAAAATGGGTTAAAATTTAACAGGATTTTACAACAAAATTAATTACTCCAACCTAATTATTCATTGAGCATCTTAATGCTCTAAACGTTCCACGGACCACCCCCTTTACAAAGTTTACTACGGATTTCCCAGAAATCATCATTAATCCTGGATACCCGATGTAAATTGGTTTACAGCTTTTCCTAAATTTGCTCATATACTTTCTATCCTTCGCACAATCCCAATGAGCCCACCCCGTCTTCCACGATATGATACAGTCTTTCGCAGATTTATGCATCATTCCCGCGCAGGTAAGCATGATAGTCCAGGACGCGATACAAAAGGGAACAGTTCCGAATAGGATGACCAAGGTCATTCTGCTCCGCGGATTCGCACCATCTTTACCTCCAATAATGAGCAGGTACGCAGTTGAGATGACAACTTGCCCAAGTACGGCTTGGATCGGAGGGATGGCGAGACCAAAAGTGTAACACATGTCGGTCACGATTACTTGCAAGCTGCGATACAGGACAACGATATTTTCCGGGCATTTGAGAAATTCTGAGGCGCACGGGTATTTTCTTTTCCCTAGGCGGGAAGGGTCTTGCCCAAATCGGAGTTCCTGCCGCAGAAGGGGGAGAACTAGCAGCACTTGTATGGTAGTAGCAGAAATCATGATTTTACTACGGGATATGAAGTAGAAGAGAGCGTATACGTAGGGAATTGTATAGAGGAGGTAGGTAAGCCAGTAGATGAGTGTCCCGTGTGGCAACAGGTTGGTAATGTGGACCGAATGTCTGTGATCAATGAGGATGTGGCCAACGCTAAAGACCGGCACGAAGTTGAGGATGAGATTGGTGGGGATCGTGGCTTCGAGGAAAGCTCGGTTGAACGTTATCTCTGCCCGGGAGGTAGGCGTAGACCACCAATTGGCTGAAAGTAGATACTTTTATTAACAATTAGAAAATCTTCAGTTTGAAATTGATGAGCTATATAGAGGGGTCGCCCCGGGATGTGGTGATGAGTTTTTAATTAGTAGCGGGGTAGAACGGGATAACTTTATAGATCTGATTTTTTCGTAGAATATTGTAAATGTATCTAGCTCCGTGTCCCAAAAATTTCAGAAGTTTTCCTTGAAAGAAAAATTTCCTACACCATTTTAAAGCGAGGAAGTGGGGAAACGAATTTTTTGTAAGTATACCAAAATTTGCGCCACAAAGCCTCGTAGAAAGCTTGACTTGACTTTTCACCGGAGAATGGCCTGGCCGTGCAAAAAATAAGAATTACATAAAAAAGTATGGAGGCTCCTAAAATGTCAACCTCAAATAAGCACCATGAGAAAAAACCATCATAATGACCCCTTGAATGTTAGAAACGATTGCATTTACTTTTGGAAAGCGTCGCTCCGCCTCCGTGCCTGGTGCGACCGTGAAGTCTAAGACAAATTCAAACTACTTGTATTATATTAAGGCTCATTAATTGTGGATCAAAGTGTGTGCAACAATATGTAAGTGCACAAAAACACACGGAAGGTCGAGAACAAATGGTAACCGCACGACCTCCCAAACTATACAACAAAATCTCACAAAAAAAATTGGTCACTGACGACGAGTCCTACGTGCTTAAAAACGTGCCAGAAACTCCGGGAATGGATTTTTTTTATGGCAAATATATCTCTCAAGCGAAAACCGAAGAGAAATTAAAATGTTGTTAAAAATTTCTCACGAAATTTCCGATTTGTCTGCCGTCAAAATGCATGGAGATTAAATGGCAGTTTGATTTTGAAAAATGAAAACCTTGCAAATGTCCCTTATCTTCGTCCCATTGAAACATCTTGGACTTTATATAAGAAGTAATACTCCCTGTTCTCTGAAACAGTCGATATTTAAAGAAAATTTCGGTTCCGGTAGGAAAAAATTAACAGTGTTAACATATTATATAAAAATTTTAGATTTGTAGAATCACTTTTTGACCATTTTGAGGTCAAAATTCCTCATCACCACTTCCCGGGGCGACCCCTCTACATGAGTTAAATAAGATGGCGTGCAAACTGATCAAGGGATTGAGGTGCAGTTAAGCTAAAAGCTAAAGCCTCACCTATCAGGTTTTGCCCAAAGACGATAGTTGAATTCCAGATACGAGCGACATCTCGCATTTTGAAAGTTAGTACACTTGTCCCGAAGGAACTTCCAAGGCCACAATAGAAACTCAAGAGGAGAAAGTTGAAGTGGGAGGAGCCCTTTTGGATTTTATTGTGAATCGTCAGTGCTAAAACCATGACCGTACCGGCGTAAAGAAAGATTTGTACGGCGACAGATATCGCGTAATTTGTATGCGATATGGTAAATTTTCTTAAGCGAGGATCCCATATTAACGGGAAAGCGAATCGGTTTCCAAATTTTACGAGCTCCTCGAATTTTTGGAGAGTAAATTCCGTAGCCATGATGCTATCGAGGTGAATTTGGGTATGTATGGGGGTTTTTGTGATGTGGGTTTTATAAATAATGTTTTGAAGGGTACATATGTCTGGGATATTTCATTAGCTGCAAATTTTCTTAAATGTTGAAGGTGAAGGTACATATAATTAGACCAATGCCGTCATTTGGTTGTTTATATAGTAATGTACGTATTGTGTCAAGAACGATAGGGATTGGCTTGACAAAAACCAATTTCAATAGCTGTGTGGGAATAAGGAATTACTAAATGTACATACATAAATATATTCTTGTATGAAATGAATGCATGAGATGATTAAAGGCCGACGCCATATCAATCTTGAATTAAATACCTACCTACCTATATAAATATATTCTAGACGACAAGTTTAAACGATATCAAGCTTAATTTAGTCCTGGCATAGAGTTACACTATCCCATGAAAAGGAAAGAAATGATTGACAAAATTCCGTAAGCAGATTTCGAACGTATGTATTTTAGTAATGAAAGTTGTTGCAATATTAATGTTATTTAAATAATGTTTTGCCTGGAAGGTTTGACTGGGTTAATTGGCTTAGTTTCTAATTGTGTTGGTTAAAATTCAGAGTACGAATAATGAAATGGAAAGGGCAAATAATTAGATCAACAACTTAATTACTTGAAATCTTAATTGCATACTCGATAGGAATTGGTTTTTTTAAAACCAATTTCATTAGTAATTATATTGTTTTGACGTTCGTGTCGAGACACAAGGAACAAATAGAATAACCGGGATTCGAATAAAGCAGGAATTGGATGATGACTAAGGTGGCGTAATTTCGAAGGGAGATGATAAACTTTTTCGAACGTGTATCCCATATTAACAGGAAGGAGAAATGGTTCGAAAATTTTACCAGTTCCTCGAATTTTTGGAGAGTAAATTCCGTAACCATATTGTCATTGGTACGAATAATTTGTGTATCACTCTAATTGGTATGTAACTATGGTTTCTATTTTCAGGGTTATTTTAATTTGATTATTTCTAAATTGTTTCGTGAAGGTAAACATAATTAGACCAATGCTTTAATTGAGTTGCTTACGTACAAGGTGGTATAAATGTCACGCTACAATATGACATTTTTCAATAGGAAAAATCCCTAAGTCTCCATTAGTTACAACATCAAAACTGATGGAGCACTGATGACAAACTTTTTAAAATGTTGTATTTTCGCGAACAAAATTTCGGTAAATAATGGAAATTTACGATTTTTCCCTTTAGAAAAACTTTTCATTCTTGCGTGTAATTTTAACTACCCTATATGTAAATACATATTTAATTGTGTCAAGAACGAAGGGAATTGGTTTCATAAGAAGCAATAAATAAATAGTCTGGGAATAAGATGAAATGCTATATTGGTAAAACTTATGTACTCCTTGTCTCGAGTGAGTCGAGGTCATGAAGGAGTAGGGAATAATTTTAAAAAAATTCCGTAACCATCTTGCGATCGAGGGAATCTAAGGTTCGAAAGTTTTTGTGACGTATTGGACCGTCAAATAATGTTTTGACAGACGTGTTTGACTGGGTCAATCGGATTAATTTCTAACATTCTTGGTTGAAATGGAAAACACAAGTAATGAATTAAATTAGTAGTTTAATTATGTCAAATAGGATAGCAATTGGTGTCTCAGTAACCAGTGCAGATATTTTGACCTTCAATCTAACCTTGAAGGCAAAAAGAATTATTGAAAATAAATTAGAATTTATGGCCAATTAATATGTACCACCAATAATTTAGAACACATTAACGATGTATATAAACATATATGTATGATGAATAAAACCTCGGTGCTAATCGTAGTCAAACGGTGTAACTTCACCAAATTGTGATAAATTTATCCTCGACGGAGACAAATTGTCACTAGTTTGTGTTAATTTTATCACCATTAAAAAGGCGGGAAACATTATCATCGCATAATGAAATCAAATATGCACACCATCCGTGACGATTAATCCCAGGTTTTAAAGGGTGCGCAACAAATATGAATATGCATTTTTCATCACTTTATCTAAATTCGAGAAGCAATGATTTATTTTTCAAATCGAAGCGTGAAACCAACCGTTCGAATAATAATACATAATAAAAATCATCTAAAATAATGTCCCCGGCTTCCGTGGTCCCTGACATGGACAATCGTGTGCAAGAAAAGTCCTCGAAACGTTATGGATCCTATGCACATTAAATCCATTGAAGATTATTACTTACGTGTGCAAATAAACATGAGCTTATTTATGTACAAATGTATGTCATTACTTATTATTTGCCTGCGTCACAATAAATATGCGCTTATCTGCTTTATCTGGTTGGTATCACGAGTTGGATCTACATATCTGTTGTACATACATACTTAGAATCGCTAAGTTTATTCAAATCTATATAGTAGTTGAGTTAATTGGATATTAAATTACCCAATAATTTGCTACTCTTGCGTCAGTGTGAATTAATCTGTCGAGTAGAATCTTCTCTGTGAGATTGTTCCTTTAGGAGAATAAATTTTTTCCAGGATTAAGCCCACTCTTTTCCTCAGGTACAAATTGGTATGTGTGTAAACCTACAGAATCTGTAATTTGGAACTAACTGCACATAAACTCTAAATAATTAGGGGACAAATCGTCACTGGTGGAGGTACTTTTTATAGTAATAGTTAAGGAGACGTTTTGTAAACTAGGGGAAATTAGTCGAAAACTCGTATATGTACCAAATACACGTAATTTAACAAAAATTGAACATCTTTATTATCTGAATATAAGTGTTTTTTAAACGAAATTATGTATTTATTGCAATTCTAAATGACGACGTTAAACTTGTTCTGTACAGGGGTTTTGACGAATTTTCACTTTGGTGACAAAACACCCATGAACAAGGTTATCTTCGTAAAAAACGGCAAAATCAGATTATTGCTAATCATTGACTTGCTCTGGAAATTTAAATAGATAATTTTCGGAGACAAATTTGTATAACAGAACGTTAGCAATTAAAAAAATATATAAGTACATACAATCAACATTTTTACACTTTTGAAGGAAGACATCTCAACTTCAGAAAAATTAAAACTCATTAAATCCTACTTAAAATATCCTCTGCCATTCTATTACTCAACGTAAGGACTATAAATTTGTTCAAAATTTTAAAATATTTTAAAATTTTGGGAGTCTATTTAGACTCCCACAGCGGAGAAATTATTAAAAATGCGCTGATTTTGACCGTGAATCATCGATAGTCCTCGGTTAAATGAGAATACCATTAAATTAATCCATAAATTTTTTCAACTAATTTTTACATGTGTAAATTTCTAGTCTGAATAGGAACCATCATGTCGTTCACGTCGCGGCCTCGCTTGTTCAACGGTGTCCCTTACCCGAGAGAGTTTTCTACCCAAATCCCACTCAGCCCAAATGTAGGATTTCCCGTTTGGAAACCGAGCATAAAACCGAAATTAAAGCCTAATTATCAAACCGGTCGGACCTGTTATGCGCATGCGGTTGCTTTCGCGCTGCACAACGCGATGAAACGAGTTGTCGGAAGGAGCGGCGGGTATCCTAAATTTGAAGACATTTTGAAGCAAATAATCGATGACTTTGGCACGGAAGGAGCACATATTGATCCAGTCCTAAAAAAATATACTGCCATCTACCGGCTACGATACAAACTCTTAGCAGGCGAGGAACAAGCCCGCGCTGCAATAGCGCATGGAAGAGAGATCGTCGCAAGTTTTAGTTTCTCGACAAAAGACGAAAACCAAGCTAACTCACGCGGTCAGTGGGACGACTTTGACGATTTCTTCAAGCGTAATCCCCGCGGAGTTTTGAAATCTAGGGATCTTGGCGATCACAAGACGGACAAGAAGAGCGCGCATGCCGTCTTCCTCTTCGACTGTGAGCCGAGCGGACTCGTGTTCATGAACTCGTGGGGGGAAGATTGGGCAGATGGGGGATATTTCCGCGTGGCGAATGCGGACGTACTCGGGGTAAAGTTTTTTGACGTTTTCGCGGTACAGGAAGATTTGAAATTGGAAGAAATTAAGGCTATTATTGACCAAAGGAGGGAGATGGGTAGGCAAATTTGCAAGCGCTGGGCTCCATTCACGTCCAAATTACTGTGGGAACCAGGCCCTAAATCCAGGTCGAACCGGGGTATGCCGAGTTCACATTAGTCTTGTGGCATCTAACTCACTCCGGGAATTTACGGTGGATTCATCATAATCGAAATTTTACCTGTTCACATTCATTAACTTTATAGTGAATTAACAAATTTATCGGTCTTTATTCAATCAGTTAATGAATATATAAGTAGTGAATTTCTTGTCAAATTTTTGAATAAATTCGTATTGATTAAAGTTGGACTAATGTTCATTTCACATTCATGAAGTAAATAATTTTATTCATTTTATTAATTTAGTATTCATGAAGAATGATTAAATAATCTTATTCATTTTTCACGTTTCGCCGTAATGCATGGAATATAGAAACATATTGAGAAAAGGCGAGGCAAATTTAAGATAAAATGACTAAAAAATCAATAACAAACAATTAATAAATATCTGCATATTTTCAAATTTTATACAAGCTAGCATTACACGAGTAATGTATCTCTATCATGCAACAAAAAGTTTCCCTTACCAATTCAGCAACACTTTCACCACCGAGTTGTGTATGTGGCAAAACTACACTTCTAAAACTGACAAACATCTGAATACGTAATGTTTGCGTGACAACAACTATTTTGATAGTTACGGCCGTGCAAATGTAATTAGTTTCTTGCTAGCTATGGGAAAATTAAATAGGAAAAGGCGCCGAAGGAAACGCTATTTAATAATTTACCTGTATAATATATTCTTAAATAAATGCGCAAAATATGTAACTGACAATGGAGGTTTCCCAAAGTATGCTCACAGATTTGGACCAAACTAGTGTAAATCGATCACAAATATAATAAATATGAAATTTGCAATTGGAACTATCTGCCAATGTTCAGGTTTAGCGGAGAAATTTGCATAGAAAGAGGAGAAAACGCACCCCCAAGGCAGGCAAATTTTTTATTTTCCAAATATGCTGCGCATTTTTGCCACTTTAGATGCAAATATCATCACTACACCTGCGCATTGGCGGATAGTTCCATTTGCACATTTCATACTAATTATATTTGTGATCGATTGAGACTAGTTTGGTCCAAATCTGTGAGCATACGTTGGGAAACCTCCATTGTCAGTTATATAATATTGGGATTATCTATGTATGTTGTTTAGAGGAACAATATTTTATTGTTTATTCATTTTAGTATAGATTATATTCGCAGAGATGTATGTATGTGTACAATTATTCCTTTTGAGAAAAGTCTAAACGCCCAGCGCTTCACAAAATTGCCCTATCCGAAATATATAAAAAAAACTTAACCTATTTCGTAGTCCTACAGTAAAAAAATCTCATCCAGCTCTCGTCCGGCTGGAAGAGATCCCAAAATTGCAGCAACATTTCCACGCTGCACTGCCATACTCATCCTCTGTATGAGGAAAGATGTTGACCTCTTCTCCCCAGTGAGGATCGTGATCCTCGATCCGATTTCCTTGATAAGGGACAGACCCTCCTTACCCCACACTCCCATTGTTTCGATGGCTACTGGTACAAAGATGAATCGATCCTGGAGGAATTCGTATTTTTTCCTCTTGGCGTCCTCCGCTCTTTCGGCTGCCGCACCAGGATGAACACACGTTTGAGGGAGGTAAGATGGTGCGAAGGTGTCCGAACATGTAAAGTCCCATACAAGGGGTCTCCCTCGTGCCCACGGTACTAATGTTAGGCCGTCTGGGCGCTTTCCGTCTTGGCGAGAGCACCCTGGTGGCTCTTTGATAGCGGGGGCTCCAGCAGTGCGGAGTGCTCTCCAAATCACGTCATTGGCAGCAGTGTGTCGAGAATGACGACCGGCACTGCTTTTGCATTTCAGGCCATGATAGCCTTTTGATGTCACGCTAGCTCCGCATGGACATTTGTGAGGGTGGCAAACGTCGCAACCAAGACGAAGGGCGCATGCTACCCGGAATGCCTCATTTGGGAGTAGCGTCCCCAGTTGTGGCGAAGGGACGGCATTGAGCCACGCCCCCACGTGTGGCTGTCCCATCGCGAGGAGACGGGCCTTATCTTCATGCGTCAGCGCCCCATTTTTGAGGTGACTTACGGCGGCCTCCTGTTGAGGCATCTCCCAAGCCGCTTGAACATCCCTAAGTTCGAGTGGGGGGAGTTCGGCGGGGCCCATCGGGATCCACATTTCTTCCCCTTCCTGCCTGGCGGTGTCGGTGTCATGCAGGTAAGGTGGCCGAAGGCGCTCAACAAGGGGCAGGGCGCTGTAGGCGGACGCTAAGAAACACGGAATCGCCACGTCTACAGCATGCCTGACCCCTAGGCCACCTTCACTGACCGGAAGGGAAGACTGAAGCCACGAATGCGGGGAAAGGGTACAGTTGAGAATCCCTTCCATTGGCTCCTTTAGTTTGGAGTCATATAGGGTGAGGGCGTCAAATCTTCGCCAAGTAGGGGCACAACGAAGAAAATATATGAGGCGGGGCGTGGATATGGAGGCCCGAAGGAGGAAAAAATCAGAGTGGGAGGAGAGTTCGAGTAGTCGGGTCCCAAGTTTTGCGAGTTGTTCGGCCTTTGCCCCCAATACAGTCTCGATTGACATATCGGCGAGAGGAGCACCCAGAAGAACGGCAGCTTCGGGGGGAATCTGCTGTATCCCCGGTGCTGCCCGGCAAAAACGCTCCAAAATTTCAAGGCGGGAACGTTCGTCCGCCCCTAGCACGCCCACTTCACAGTTGGCGGTGTTCAGGCGAAGACTAACTTCCTCCCCCATGCGGATAATGGTGTCCATCGCGACTAACACTTTTTCTGGGGTGTCCGCTATAGTGGCATCGTCCAGATACCACAGATTAAGTTCTGCCTCGATTGCAAGGATAATGGGCTGGACGACGAGGGCGAAGAGTGCGGGACCTAACGGGTCCCCTTGTTGGGCCCCGCGGCGGGAGGAGATGGGGGTGTCGCCATAGTATAATTGAGACGGAAAAGAATAAGCATGCGATAAAAAACTGAACATTGAGGGGAACCTTTCATGAATAATGTAGAGAATTGTATCCCGCCGAATCTCGTTGAAGGCGTTGTTAAAGTCGACTTTCAAAAAGGCTTTAGATGTCGTATGGGCGTGTCCCCAATAGATGCGGGCCGCATGTGCCGCCGCTTCGGCACCCCCCCTTATCCCCACCCCCAGTTGATGGGGTGCTAGGTATTCCACAAGGTCGGGGGACATTCTTTTCAGTGCGATTTTAGCGGAAAGGCGGCGCCATACATTTCCAACCGCCACGGGCCGAATCCCGCCAGTTTTCTTCTTTAGGGCGGTGAGGGAAGCTCCATAGAAAATCGGGCAGAAGGGGACTGGAACACTCCCGCTCAGAACAACATTTATTAAATTTACGATAGCCTCAAGTAATTTTTCCCCCACTTCTCCCTGCTCAGTGGCGACAAGGTCTTTCAAAATTTGCGGGCGAAGGGAATCAAGGCCCCCCGCTGAACCAGGCGGAAAGCTTGCTATGGCGGTGACGACTTCTATCGGGTCGACCCTTGGTGATTCCGAGTTATTTAGTGGTTCGGGATATTTGGTTGGTTCCGGGTGTGGCGGATGCTTAGTGATAAGCGCATCAACTGTCTCTTGGGTCCTTGGGGCTATCGTGTCGTCGGAACAGGCAAGCCTAATTGCCCCCCGGATATCCCCATCCGCTAGTTTCGCCTCCACTTTCTTTGCCACACTTTCCATCCCTCGAGGGGGCTTGGCGGGAGGTCGAGGGAGTCGTGCCGGTGGGGCTGCCTGGTCCAACAACCACCGGGACATATACATACATATGTATGTATGTATAATTATAATTAAAATACATCGGTGTGGGCAACAAACAAATAAAAGTAACTCCTATAGCGAAGAATATCCAACGAATGTTGGATATATTTTTATCACGGAAGAATAATAATGCCGAATTATCTGTACCATTTTTTATTTTTACTACTTATGTCCTTTCTTGCATGTATGTATGTAACGGGAACTTGACATTGTATCCAACGTTCCAAGATATCCGTCTTTGTTTCCCACACATTATTTTGTTGGACCTCATTAAGTGATACTTCAATAAAATTTCGGCGTCATATTTACATACCATAATGTATCTTTGGATTGTTGTGCTCATTGGGGCAAACTTATTTTTGGCATGTCACCCTGAATTGTCCAGTGTTTGGGGTGGCCTGTTTTCCGAGGCCGACGTAACCATGATATACACTCCTGACTGTGATGAATGTTTCCTTCATTATCGCGATGTCGCGGATGAGAATGCCTACACACCTACATACGCGTCATATTGTGCTCAGTCGAGCACTATCCGAATTTCAATACCAAAATGGAGCAAAGTCTCTGAAAGCGTGTCAGGACAACGATAATTCCGCACGACGTAAAGTAATTTTCTTGCCTTTAGATGTAACAATGGGTTATAATCGGCTGTCGACTAATCCGAATTGTGAAATCTTGAACAAAATTGCTAAAAATCTGCCCAATCAAGAATATATTTTTGCTTACACTTCTCTTCACCGGGGCTTGGCATGCTTACAACGTCACGTTCAATTCATAAGGACGGTTAAGTTAGTTATATATAAGATTAGCGACAACGAGACCTTATTTATTCCTTGTTTGACGTGCAATCCTATAATTTTCATGGAACTGGAGACTATTTCCTTCGCAAAAATAGGAGAAACTTGGAATACTGTAAATTTGAATATGCATAAATACTTTGTGTATGTCTTAGGATCAGTGGATATAAAGTGTGGCTTGCTCCAGGACGGATTTGTCAATCTAATAAACCTCTATATTTGTGAGGTGGGTGCGATTGCGAAAAAGTATAATTTGACCATCGTAGAATACAAGAGGCAGATGCATGCATGGTTTGGCGACACAAGTTTTGGGGTGTTTTCCTATTCAGACGAAATAAATATTACTTCCGATAATTACGTTTATCAAATTGACTTTGCTTCGATTAACTTCATTTCTATAAGTAAACCACCATCCCTTGCAAATGGAATTGAAACGTTTTTGTCTCCGTTGGATCCGGACAGTTGGATCTGCCTTTTCATCGTTGTTGTATCACTTGAAATATTTTTGACCTGGTCGGACTGGCGGAGTTCGACACAAGCACCCTTGATAACGAGAAGCGTCACCATATTGGATAAACTGATAGCTATGGCATGCATCCTTCTCGGACAAGTTGGTGAAAGCATGGGAAAAGCGTATCGTGCAGTATCGGTGGTCTTAGT